ACAAAAAAAAAAAAGTGTACATGTCTGAAAAATCTGATCCAAGAATTCTGGACTCAGGGAAGCCTCACACAGCTGAGGACAGGAGCAAATGAGGATGAATAAAGAACAGGCTACAAATGGAGTAGAGGTGGCACAGGCAGGCCCAGGCTGCCTTCCCTGGTTGGGCTCCAAGGAGACAACCCTGGGCCATTCTCTTCATCACTCTATACTGTGGTACTTTACACGGTAAAATGCGGTTATTAAAACAAATATACATGGGCATGTATTAAATGCCAGCAAACTGCATTACATTTTAGAACACGAGTAAGTCAGGTAGGGTCCACAGCTCTTGAAGCCTGAATTCTAGTGCACTATTGGCAGCGCCTACCTCAGAAAGGTGGTGTGAAGAGGAAATGACTTACTGCATTTGAAGTGCTTGCATGGTATCTGGTATAGTGACTGGCATGACACTATTTATTTGAATGTCCCTGTTCCCTCTGATTCCTGGAGGGAGATTCCTTCCAGTGCTCTTGCAGGAAAGACCAAGTTAGAACTCTGCCAACACTGTCCACCTGATATAATTCTTCAGTGGTGACCTTGGCTTTGTCTAACCTAACTCTTGACGCCCTTACGAAAGGTCAAGGTCACCCTCTTTTCTAGATTTGACACAACCAATGAAAGGTGTTTGCAAGTCATGGCATGAATCCAAGAAGTATGATCTTCAAGTTAACGTACACATGACCTTAATTGAAACTGTTCCCTGTGAGGTTTTAGGTGAGCCTGGTCTTTCATTGTTGCATCTGCCGTGACACTTGGAGAAAAGAAAATAGTGTGAAAAAGCATTTTACACTTTGACCAACATATTGCATCATCTCCCAAAGTTGCCTATTTTAGAACCCACTTTACGTTTCTCAAACAGGAATAACTATCGACAGGTCAAGTTACATTGTTGTGGGGGAGAAACTAATATTAATGGTAGCTTTCAGATTCGATATCTCACTTTGTCTTCACAGTAGTGTGAGAGGCAGATACAGCCATTGTCCCATTTTACAGACAAGTAGGGGCTGGCTAAATGACAGTCTCCCAGGGTCATCCAGGTAGTAAGAGGCAAATGGGGCCTTCTTCCAACTCCTGGGTGGCAGACCCAGCCACCTCCCTGAGAGTCTCTAAACTACTTTTATCTCAAATGATTTTTTATCAAATGATCTCAAATCAGTTCTTCATCTCCCATATCCCAGGGAATTCAACCAAGTCCCTCTCCTTCACCAAGTCATAGCAAACATAGCAAACAGGCTCAAAGAAACTCAGATAAGGACACTCTGATCTGCACTCAGCTAGCCCTGGAGACACTGTCTTTAATAGAGAAGTCCAAAGGAGTTTCTATTTTAATGAAAAACTGAGTTTGCTGAATGAGGCATAGAACATTGAAATTCAGCAGCTCATTGCTTCCCATAAACACTTCACTCTCAGAGTTTTGTTGGGTAAATGTAGTAACCAGAAAGATCCATGGGCAACTGACAACATAGACTGAGTGCAGTCTTTGAACAGATTACCTTCTTGAATCTCTATTACAAAGCTGGAAATACCTCTAAGATCCACTATCTATTCCAGGGCTTCCTCTTTCAAGAAGCTTCTGATCATCCCGATAGAAAACCATGTGTCCTGACCTGAGTTGCTGACTTTGAATAAAACAAGGCATCAAGCACAATGAGGTATCTGAGTGCTGTCAGAAATTTATTGGGGCCCTTTTTATTTTTCTTTCCGCATTTGCACTGGCCATCCTCCCACCAGCCAGTACATTCAAATTGATTAACAAACACAATGTTTGTGAAAAAGAGTCAACCGCAGGGTAATCAAATGCATTGTGTGTGTGTGTGTGTGTGTGTGTGTGTTAAAATCATTTCCCTGGCTCGAAGTACGTAATGTCAAATTGGCAAAAATAACCTATCTTCTTGTCCGACCCACAAACTGAGAAGAAAATTAAACACAGAATTGTTTGTTTCTTGTTTGCATTTCTCAGGGTGTGAGGAACTTCTTTTCAAACCCTCAGAATCCCTATGCTTTCCATAATGCAAAGATTTTACCTCCATTCTGACTTACACAGGAACCCAACTTTTCCTCACGAGGGTGACACTGTTGGTATATTAATGTGAGGCACAGAGGCTTTTAAATAAAGGAAATAGAATCTTTTGAGAGTGTAATGTTTTAGTTGCCCTCTGATAGATAATTCTCCCCTGTTTTATTACCAGGCCTGTGAAAATTTGAACAAAGAAAGGAGAAAATTCCAACACAAGGTTTTCTATGCTGATTTGCCTTCTTTGCCATTTCATTTTCTTTCAAATGCTGTATTTATTTTCCAATGCATATAATATCTTCTGGCCTTAAAGACAATCCCACTAGACAAAGATAAATGCCAGGCCTTCATTTCTTTGTTAGGAGGAATATTTCTTCTATAAGTCTTACTCTTTACTATCACCATGTACGTAGACATTTAAAAATAAACAAACTAAAAGGAGGGCTTGTTTTTGTTTTTTTGGTATCTTCTTAACACATCTCAGAACTAGCTGAGGGCACTGAAAAGCCCAATTTAGCATACTGCTGTCAGAACAACTCCGGAGTCTTTCAGATAATCCCATTAAGTGTAAAATGTCTTTTTAAGTAGCTTGAAGAATGCATTGGGGCTAACTCTGGAGGACTCACACTGCAACTTCAGTGATCAAACCTAAAAGCCCATGATAAAGATTTTAAACTTCTGAGAATTGATTTTTAAATGTCTGTGATTCATTTTCTGCTCTAAAAACTTTGATATCCAGTGTTTGGGTTTTGAAAGGCAATGGATTTGGCCACAGAAAAGAGTTGACTCTTTCTCCATTTGGTTTCGGTTTGGGTTTTGGTTATTTTTGTTTGTGTTTTCTAGTTTGTTTTATTACAATGCTTTGGCCAGGCCTGTGCTCTCACTGTGTCCAACTGCTTTGTGAGGAGAGTGAGGAAGGACTTTATTTTCTGTCTCCTTCACCTAACTTTTCAAAGAAAGAAATGAAGCAGGCTGAGGAAGAGAGGGATGAAAAACAGAGAAAGGCCATGATAAGGGCAGGTTCCCAGATGAACAGTCCTACCCTTTTGCTCACTTGCTTCATCTTACAATGAACAGCCACTGGGCAGCTGTCTTAAAGATGCCACAGGGGAAGCAGAACCACAGATGAGTAACCAGACACAGGCCATCCACTGGGAAAATGGCGCTGCAGAGTTGCCACCCAGCTTGGTCGGAGCTCAGAGGCAAGAAGACTGACCTAGCTGGGGACTAACAGACCCCAGGAACAAGTCAGAGATCATCGACCTCTACAGGTTGAAGATGATGAGAGCCCCTGGGGAGAAAGGACATTTCAGACAGGAAAAGCACATCATGTGTTCAGTGGCTTGAGGGAACATCGGTTAACATTTAGGGAGGGTGGGGTCAGTCTCTAGAGATGATCCTGTAACGTCTGTCCAGGGCCAGGGTGGGACATCAGGCTAAGGGGTTCAGTCTTGCTCCTCTAAGCAAAGGGGGCTATTGAAAGATTGGCTCGTGGTGGTGAGGTGAGCAGAGCAGAAGTGTGGCAAAGTGTGAGCCGCATGGATTCCATCTAGCAGAGAAACTCTGGTGGGATGGGTGGGGGGAGGGGCAACAGTCTGGAGGCTATAGCAGTAATTAGTAACTACCAATGAGGAGGGCTGGAGCCAAGGTGCTCCTTTGTAGCGAGGCTGAACCCTGCCAGCCCAACTCAGAATTAGGGGAAAGATAGTGAAGGTGTTTAGAAATGGTTGGATATTTAGATATTGGTTAGAATCTTTAGATATTTGGAAATATCAGAAATGGCTGAACTCTGTAGGCACGCAGATGCCTTGGTCAAAGAAAATGAAGGAATGTGGAAAGAGTAATGAAATGACAATAGGGAAAATGATGAGTCTGGTAGTTCTTGACCAAAAAAGGGGGGGTCTGGTAGTTTGTAACAAAAAAAGGTGGGGGAGTCTACAGTTGAGAGCTGAAAGGAAAAACCAGTTTCCTGTCGAAGTGTTCAAAAAGGAAACCTCATTACTCATTTGTTCAACCAACTCTTGCTGAACATGACCACATGTTCGGCAGACACTGCACAAGGTGTTGAGGATACAGGGGTAAACAGAATGATAGCATCTGTCCTCCTAAGGCTTATGCTGTAATGGAGCGCACCTGGACATCAATACCTGTTGTGTGAAGTCACTTTACTTGGAAGGTCCCATTTATAATCCTCATCACTTAAGTAGATACTATTCATTTCCCCATTTTTTAGAAGAAATGGGAAAGTGAAGTCAAGGGAAGCAGCAGAGCCAGAACACGAACTCCAAAAATCAAATGCTGAAGTCCACTTTCTTAACCTCTACCCAAGACTAGGATTCAAACGAAGCTGAAGTCTAACAAGGAGGTGGAAGTGAAGCTTTGCCACCTTCTTAAAATGTGCAGACCCCTCTCATAGTTATTATCAGTAGGGGTTTCATTTCAAAGCAATTTGGACACTTAAAATTATCTCTGGCTTTCACCATCTGAAAAAAGCATTTTTTTCCCTGAGTCCCGGGCAGTGGTACACATACACCCCAGGCTAGGGTGCAGCCGGCCTCCAGAGCTATGTGCCCAGCCCTGGTGCCCAGTTCTGGTATTGAATCCTTCACTTGAAACATTTCTGCAGCCTCTTCAATCCATCACGCCTCTCAATGGCTTCACATTAATCCCCTAGCCCTGATGGTTTCCATCACATCTCCTGCCAACTAATGTAGTTTGGGCTGGAAAAAAAAAATCTATTTTATAACTCCAAGGACATTAATAATTAACTTCCATACCACAAAACTTGTAATATCAGTTTGCTGAAATAAAGTCACCAGTATTTAATTCTTCTTTAAAGGGTGTCTTCTATTATTATTATTTTAGAGTGCAATTTAGTCATCAAAGGTTTACTCAGCCTCATGTTTATAAATTATATGGGGCAGGGATTTAACTCTTCTGGACCTACCTGTTCTGAAGAGAGGGAGGGTCATAACCCTGTTGTCATACCAGGCACCTGCCTTGTAAGGAGATGATTTGTGAACTTGAAGTTCCTTAACCTCTTTTAGAAAACTCTGGGGTGAATATATAGAGTTCCCTCTATGATGCAATCAGAAGAATAACCAGATAGTTGCCTGCCACGAAGAGGCACTGGCTTTCTTCCTCCAGAAGGCTGTTTGGAAACTACAAGTTCATCTTTCTAAATTGAATTTCTGAATCTTGTCTTGATTAAATGACATAATAATAGTGGCTTTCCAATTCATCTGTGTAATATTGTTTTTTCATAGCGGCGGTTACTTTTTTTTTTTTTGGTAAGGGGAAGGGCTACTGCCTTAGAGGAATAAAAGCAAAGCAGAAAAAAACCTCCTGCACTGCCGACCTCAGTTACAAATTCCAAGTTCTCACTTACAAGTTTACATCCTGGGTTGATGACTATCAATCAAGGGCAAAACCAAGTTCACTGGGGTTTAGGAATCTTGGCCTTGAAGGAGAATTTCCCAAGAAATTTTGGGTAAGGGGAGGAGGTAGCAGGTGTCTGCCTTTCTAGGTTCCTCCCTTTGAAAAGGGCAATGTTTTCAAAGAGTTAAATGAGCTCCTCGAGCTGCTCCTTCATGGGAGGGCTGAACCCCACCCAGTAAGCCAAGTGTAGACGGATCCAGGTTTCTCTGCCAAAGCACACCCCTCCCCCAGCAGCGGGCCCTCGAAGCCCCTGACCACAGCCAGGAAGAGGATGCCAGTCATCTTCCAGCGCGCTCAGCTCCGGACCTACAGGGATTCCTGGCCTTGGTAGAAAAGGCCCAGCGGATTCATTCGGAGCGAGATGCTGCATTCCAAGAATGCTTCTGTGGCCGGCAAGGAGTGGAAAAAATCAGGGATAATAAATATTCTGAGGAAACCTAATAGGTACCAGAATCGCAGGACTCAAAACAAACAGGTGACAACTTAACGTAGAGACAACCAGAGCTCACACAGAGAGAACGCACGCAGGGCTGCGGCTCGCCCTTTCCCTGGCGTCGGCTCCTGCCTTTCTTTCCTGTTCTGACACCCGCTGGGAGCGGCTGCGTGTACCGACGAGGGGGCTCGGTGGAGAGGGCGGGCGGAGCTTGGCTCTGCGCGCCCGAATCCAAACTAAACACCTCGCAAACCGACGTTTAGCAAGCGATACCGAACACCACACTCACGTTTAAAAAAAAAGTATGTTTGCAGACAAGATGAGGGCGAAAACATTTCCCGGCTGGAAAATTACTGATCACAAACTAAGGGGGGAGAGGGGTGGATGGAGAGGCAGAGTTATAAGACTGAAATAACGACCGCCGTTTCCTCCTCCCTTCCCGGTGGGCACGGACGGCGGCCGCGGGCTCTTTTCGGGGTGGACCCTTCTCGGGAACCGGGGGTCCCACCGCATCGCTCCACCTCCTGGCTCGTGGCCACTTTCCAGCTAAGACCCTTTGGGTGGACTGGACGGCCGCGAGCCTGAGCTGAAGGCAACGCGTTGTTGTGTGACCTTTCCCTCGCCTCTTCACCTCTTTATGACTCAGTTTTCTCATCTATAAAGTGGAGTGAAGAGTGCGCAGTTTGCAAAGAGCTTTGAGAGCCCCTGGTTGAAAGGTGTCCCCGCGCCCAGCAGCCCCATCTTGCCTTCCCCACGGCACCCAGTTAACCCGGCACCCCTTCCCTGCTTCCTCGCTCCTGAAATACCAGAACCATAACCCGGTTTCCCATGGCGGCCTCTTCTCGCCTTTTCCGGGAAACATGCCCGGACCTTCTGCGGCTCCCAGTCCCCGCGACACAGCGCCGGGCACCCCCCTCCTCTGGGGGGCCCCCACCCCCGGCCCCACCCCCGAAGCCCCACCCTGAAGAAGAGCCCGTGAGGAACCGTGCAGCGCTAGGCCCAGCGCCCGAGCTGGCGCTCCGGGGCCGGGGCCGGGGCCGGGCGCCTGCGCGCGCAGGGGAGGGCTCGGGGCCGCATGAGTCACACGGATAATCGCGCTCTCCTCCAGCGCGCAGACGGCGCGGCGCGGCGCGCGCGCGGGAGCGGGGGTGGGGCGCGCGGCCGTTCCCCGCCGCCCTCACCAGCCTCTCAGCCGCGGGCTTCGAACGCAGGGGTCGGAGCAGGGCGACGCGCACCGCCCTGCTCGCGCGGCGAGCGGCCCCGCGTCCGGCACCCCTCGCCCCGCGCCCGGGCCGCCGCCGCCGGCGTCAGCGCGGCTCCTGCCCGCCAGCTGCCGGGCTGGCGTCACGGCCGGGCCCGGCCCCGCCCGCGCCCCTCCCTCCCCGCGCCCGCGCCCCTCCCTCCCCCGCCCCCACGTGCGCCGAGTTTGTTTATTTAGCTGCCATGGCAACCGCAGAGGAGCCGCGGGAGGGAGGGGGAGAAGAAAAGGAGGGGGTGGAGCCTGGCGGCCGGCCCCGGCGCGCAGCGGGCAGGAGGCGGGGGGGTGGGGGGGAGCGCCGGAGCGAGAAGTTATAAGTAAGGAGCGCGCGGCGGCCGCCGGCAGTTCCCCGGCCCGAGAGAGCGAGCGCGGCTGCGGGCGCGCGGGGAGCAGAGGCGGTGGCGGGCGGCGGCGGCACCGGGAGCCGCCAAGTGCCCCTCCCCGCCCCTCCGGCCCCCACCCACCCACCCGCCCGCGGCCAGCGCCCATGGCCGCGCGCGCCCGGCGCAGCCCCCCGGACTCCGCACCCCGCGCCGCCGCCCAGCACGCAGATCAGCGCCAGCCCGGCCAGGCTCACCTGGCGGCGCCGCCCGCCCGCCGCCCCGGCCCCGGCCCCAGCCCCAGCGCGCACGGCCACAGCCGCGGCGCCCGCGACAGCGGCGGGGGACACTGCTGAGCCGAAGAGCGCGCAGCCCGGCCGTCGGACCTCCTCGCTCGCCTTCCCGCTTGTGTGTTTTTACGAGTTTACAACTTTTCTGAGAACTTTTGTATACAGAGGAACTTTTTTTTAAACGGCATCATCCATTTATATTTCATCCAAAGAAGAAGCTCGGGCAAAAATTGGGGCGTTTTTGGTTTCGGCTTCGTTTCTAAGTTTTCCCCTTCTCCTCGTTGACCTTGGGGTTCGGGTACCCCTACCGCTTCGGACTCCCGAGGACATTCTGGGCCCCCACATTAATGAGGTAGGTGCAGCGCGGCGTTCAGGGAAGGGTGGGAGCTGGTGGGACGCACCCGAGCGGCGGTTGAGAGTGGCCCCCTGACTCCTGCTTCCTTGTGCGCCCCACCCGACCCTCAGGCAGCCACCTGGCGAGTCTGACATGGCTGTCAGCGACGCGCTGCTCCCGTCCTTCTCCACGTTCGCGTCCGGCCCGGCGGGAAGGGAGAAGACACTGCGTCCAGCAGGTGCCCCGAATAACGTGAGTGTTGCCCCGGGCCGCCCGCAGCGTCCGGTGGGCTTCTGTGGGTGGGGTGAGGACGGGCGGCACCCCAGGGTCGCCGAGCCCACTGGGCGAGGCGAAGGGGTGGCCACCGCACGGCCTCCGTTGCCTGCCCAGAGCGCGGATGGCCCCCGCGCTCTGGGCTCCGCGGTACGTGCGTGTGGTCGGGCGGCTGCCGAGCCGCGGGGGGCGCACGCCTGGCCCGCGCGCGTCTCCTAGTTCCAGCGGCCGGGCGGGCTCGCGGGCCGCAGGGCAGGAGGTGGCGAGGTCCCCAGACCCTCGCTACTGGGCCCGAGGGAGCTTGAGGTGTAGGCGGCCCCGTGGCGAGGGCTCCCCGGGAGAGCCTCGGTGTCCCAATTTCGGGGGCGGCGGGAGCGTCGCCGGGATCTGGCGGGGGAGGGACCCGGGCTGGCGAGCCTCTGCGCTCGTTCACACGCAATCCGGCAGACACTGCCTAACACCCATGCAGACCGCCTCTCCTCGGACCCGGGTGTGGGCCGAGATTGCAGCGTTGGCATCGGAGTCCGCAAGCGGCGCCGGGCCCTCCACTATGTCGGGTGGCAGTTGGAGGTCAGCACTGACGGTTTCTCTCCTTCTCTGTTCCTTCAGCGCTGGCGGGAAGAGCTCTCGCACATGAAGCGACTTCCCCCGGTGCTTCCCGGCCGCCCCTACGACCTGGCGGCGGCGACCGTGGCCACCGATCTGGAGAGCGGCGGCGTTGGCGCGGCTTGCGGTGGCAGCAACCCGGCTCTCCTGCCTCGGAGGGAGACGGAGGAGTTCAACGAACTCCTGGACCTGGACTTTATCCTTTCCAACTCGCTGACCCATCAGGAACCAGTGGCCGCCACCGTGTCCTCCTCGGCATCAGCCTCATCCGCGTCCTCCCCGTCGAGCAGCGGTCCAGCCAGTGCGCCCTCCACCTGCAGCTTCAGTTATCCGATCCGGGCCGGGGGCGACCCGGGCGTGGCACCCGGCACCGCTGGCAGCGGCCTCCTGTATGGCCGGGAATCGGCGCCCCCTCCCACAGCTCCCTTCAACCTGGCGGACATCAACGACGTGAGCCCGTCGGGCGGTTTCGTGGCTGAGCTCCTACGGCCCGAATTGGACCCAGTGTACATTCCTCCGCAGCAGCCGCCGCCGCCAGGTGGCGGGCTTATGGGCAAGTTTGTGTTGAAGTCGTCGCTGAGTGCCCCTGGCAGCGAGTACGGCAGCCCGTCGGTCATCAGTGTTAGCAAAGGCAGCCCGGATGGCAGCCACCCGGTGGTGGTGGCGCCCTACAGCGGCGGACCGCCGCGTATGTGCACCAAGATCAAGCAGGAGGCAGTCTCCTCGTGCACCGTCGGCCGGCCCCTAGAGGCCCACTTGGGCACTGGACCCCCTCTCAGCAATGGCCACCGGCCGCCGACACACGACTTTCCCCTGGGGCGGCAGCTCCCCAGCAGGACTACCCCGACCCTGGGTGCCGAGGAACTGTTGAGCAGCAGGGACTGTCATCCTGCCCTGCCACTTCCCCCGGGCTTCCATCCCCACCCCGGGCCCAACTACCCACCTTTCCTGCCCGACCAGATGCAGCCACAGGTGCCACCGATCCATTACCAAGGTCAGTCCCGGGGATTCATTATTCGGGCTGGGGAGCCCTGCTTGAGCTGGCCCCCTCCTGGGGCGCTTGGGATGATGCTGACCCCACCTTCTTCACCCCTAGAGCTCATGGCACCTGGTTCCTGCATGCCAGAGGAGCCCAAGCCAAAGAGGGGGAGAAGGTCGTGGCCCCGGAAAAGGACGGCCACTCACACTTGTGATTATGCCGGCTGCGGCAAAACCTACACCAAGAGTTCTCATCTCAAGGCACACCTGCGAACCCACACAGGTAGGACGGAAACCACAAAAAGTGTGTGTGTTGGGGGGTTAGCGTCCAGCCCCATTAGCCCACCGTGGCCACTCCTCGGGGCGTCCCTTGGGTTGTGGGGTGCAATCTATCTCCTCCATCTCCCGGATCACAGGAGAGCACAGCAAACCGGCGCCTGCTTTTTTGCCCAGGAGCTTTTTGCTTGATGGATGGTATCAGGGCTTGAATGTGCAGTTTTGTTCAGCCTTTGAAAGGGAGATTCCAGACAGTGTGTTGCCCTTCTCATAGCTTGAGCGGGGCACCCGCTTGTGATCAAGAAATTGCTCTTTGCAGTTCAAAAGCATTAAGACAATTGTTTGTCAGTTTTCATTTCCTAGACTCCCTTCATTTTTCATTGCCCCAATTCACCCTGCCTCAGTTCTAGTCGTGATTAGATTTTACTTCAAGAATTTTATGGTTTCAATTGCTGAGATATTTGGTTTAAGATGGTCACTTCAGAGAATTTCCATGTTGACGTGAGCATAGGCAGAGCGTGTCATTTTGGCATAGCCTTCATGATGATAACAAATGTTGGTACAGGATTTAAAAAAGCCTCCTATGGCTTTTTAGACCCAGTTGTAATGGGAATAGGACGTTTTGCTTGGTTTGGACTAGGGAGAGAGACACAGTAGGTGACATAATTTCCAAATTAATTTCTATCCCTGTGATTCCTTGGCTCAAAAGACAGAAAACATCACCCTAAAGAAGTGTAGGCTTAGGAAGTATTTGTGTGTTTTCAGTATATCTTTAATGTTCCCCTAATGAAAAAGCAAAAGAATACTTAGTGTCATGTCTTCCTATTTATGACCTGAAGTTTTGCACAGCCTTACGATGGAAATAAAGGTATTCCTGTGTGCTTTTGGGGGTGGGGGGGAGAATGCCTGAGTTGATTTAACTTTTCGCCTCTAGTTTTTAAAGAGGCCCAGGCTCCCTCACATCACAGTGGCTTCCAACGGCTTGCTTTTCCTTCCCCAGGTGAGAAGCCTTACCACTGTGACTGGGACGGCTGTGGGTGGAAGTTTGCCCGCTCGGATGAACTGACCAGGCACTACCGCAAACACACCGGGCACCGCCCCTTCCAGTGCCAGAAGTGCGACCGGGCGTTCTCCAGGTCAGACCACCTCGCCTTACACATGAAGAGGCACTTTTAAATCCCACACAGTGGATAGGACCCACACTGCCAGAAGAGAATTCAGTATTTTTAACTTTTCACACTGTCTTCCCGGAGAGGGGAGGAACCCAGCCGGAAAGCACTACAATCATGGTCAAGTTCCCAGCGAGTCAGCTTGTGAATGGATAATCAGGAGACATGAAGAAAACCGAAAGACAAATCAGAGAACAAAAACGGATGGGGTCTGTGACTGGATCTTCTATCATTCCAATTCGAATTCCAACTTGAATATTCCTGGACTTACAAAACGCCAAGGGGGTGACTGGAAGTTGTGGATATCAGGGTATAAATTAGATCGGTGAGTTGGGGGGGAGGGAAGACCAGAATTCCCTTGAATTGTGTTTCGATGCAATATAAGTGTAAGGATCATCTTATATTCTCTTTGCCTTCTAAAAGCCATTATTATATTAGAAGAAAAGAAAGAAAATTCAGGTACAGAAATGTGTTTTAATAACCTAAACGATGGTGCTTGCTGAGTCTTGGTTCTAAAGGTACCAAACAAGGAAGCCAAAGTTCTCAAACTGCTGCATACTTTGACAAGGAAAATCTATTTTTGTCTTCCGATCTACATTTATGACCTAAGTCAGGTAAATACACCTGGTTTACTTCTTTAACGATTTTATGCAGACAGTCTGTTATGCACTGTGGTTTCAAATGTGCAATAATCTGTACAATGGTTTATCCCAAGTATGCCTTAAGCAGAACAAATGTTTTTTTTTCTATATAGTTCCTTGCCTTAATAAATATGTAATATAAATTTAAGCAAACTTCTATTTTGTATATTTGTAAACTACAAAGTAAAAAAGTGAACATTTTGTGGAGTTTGTATTTTGCATACTCAAGGTGAGAATTAAGTTTTAAATAAACCTATAATATTTTATCTGAACAATGTTTTCGTTTGGTCTTGTATCCCCTCCCCCCGCCCCCTCCCCCCAGAAGAGCATGTAACACATTTCAGTTTAAATACAGTGGGTAGGGCATGTGAAAAGCACACTAAGCAGCCACACTTTATCTCAGCACAGAATAAAAGACTTTGTTTTAAGGCAACTTAGTTTTACAATATGTACTCTCAGTGTTGTGAGCCTGAAAACTGAGTACTGGAGATCACAGAATTAAACTTAGCTGCTTCAGGCTGCTCTTTGCAAAGGTACATAAAAGTACAGGAGAGATGTTTCCTTACCTGAGTGTGTGTTTCTCAGGTAGAAACCTCTCAGCTTCAGTTTGCTCAGTTTAATAGGAAAGTTTTCATAAAGTATACACAGAACAGCCTCACCTTTAAAAACAAATCTTTATGGTTTCTCTTTAAAAAGAAATGAAAATATAAAAATCTCTCAAAGGCCTGGCTCTGCACTCAGAACAATTTCAGTAACAAAGAACCTTCTTCCCACAGCTGACAGCCCTAAGAATGTAGTTCCACAGTGCCCTCCTGAGGATTAAAGGTTCATTTATGCTTAGTGTGCGTTACAGACATGGGACTGGTAGTTCTAGTCCCGAGAGGTCGGGACTGAAGTGACGAACAGATGGTTTTCAAACTTTGCTGGTCCTCTGAAGATGGCCAGCTCTATTGTTTCAGCAGATTGAAACAAAAGAATTGAAAGTCATCAAAGTCACAAAAGGAAATGTAAAATTTTAAATTGTGTTTGTATGAGCTTGTGGCATATTTCTGAAGTTATTAAAGCTTAAAAACTGCACTGATATTTTTCTGAGGTGGGTAAGCAAGAGTGTGACATTCTTCTGTGACTGTCAGAAAATGGAAAAAACATTTGTGATACTTGTTGACACTAGATATTTGTAATAGTGATGTGGGTGACTAATTAACATTGTCAAGCAGACAGAAGCTGACTGGCATTTTCTCTAGACTGCTTATTAACCATCCATTATATCTCAGTGTCCAGAGGTCTGTTTGCATTGTGGGTGCACTTTATAAATGGAATAAAAAATAGAAATTTGTAAGAGGCTCATGATGGATCAACACAAAGTATTTTCCTTGGCTTTTAAGCGTCGGCATGACTGGAAAACATGTCATGTGTCTTAGCTTAAAAGAAAACAGGTGCATCAATAGGATGGAATTTTATGTGGCCAAGAACATATTCAAAGCATATTTAATGACATGGAAAATGCTCATGGTATGTTAAGTGGAAAAATCAGGACAAAATACTATAAACAGCATGATTCCAATCGTATAAGTTTAAATGTCTGTGTGCACTGAAGGAGAGAGACAACCAAAAGAAAATTAAGAGGAACGACTGGAAGGAAACACCAAAATGTTAACACTGGTGTTTTCTCAGTTTTAATATCCAGCACTTACCAAATATTCTAAAATAAGTATTTAGGATGGAGATATTTTTAAAGAAAGCTGGTGCAAACATTTAGGTTTATTTATAAAAGAGCAATTAAAGCTATTTAAAGTCTACATTTGAACACATTTTTCTCTATTAACTATTGGTTATTGCTCTTATAACCCACCTTTCTCTTAAGAGCCTTCTGGTACCTACTGGGAGAATGGAAAGTGTTTATTGAGTGTTTGTTACCATCTTCATCTTTGCTTCATATGGCTCTATCTCAAATAAAAAAAAAATTCACAATATATCAAGACATAAACTTACGTAAATATCACTTGCATTAACTTTTTCTAAGCTGGTAAAGAAAGCTTCCATATCTAAAATGGATGAGGAAGATTGTCCAAAAATCTAATAGGACAAACCATGTTCAACATGCACAAATATGTAAACTTGTCCCCTGAACCTATCGTGTGAGCTCCTGGGTATACTTCATCACGGTGTTACTGTCACTTACACTATACAATGAAGAGTACTTCATAATTGAGATGCTTGTTTATTACATTTTCCTAATGACACTTAATTTTATATGCTCTACACACGCACAAAGGATCAGTAGTAGTGTTTTCTATATATATATATCAACAGATTTTCAGTCTATCTTCCAGTAAAATACTGTATCTGAAAACCCGATAGACTCTTACAACCCTGTTTGTTTTGGTTCTTGAAAAAAAAAACAACAAACAAACAGTAACCTTCATTTCAAATAGGATAGTCAGGAGGATTCTTTTCCTTTCAAAAATTGAAAAATTGTTTCCATTTTTAGAAAAATACAATGTTATATCATATTTGGGTATTAATAATTTTTACATCTCACAAAACCCCAATGAGCCAGTCCTTATTTTATGCAAGCAAGTCCAAAGGGAAAATGTTAAAGCAAGTGGTGGGGGTACCTGCTGTACTTTGCCATATAGGAGCATCTAAATTTAGCAGGCTGCGTCAGCCACCTGCTGCTACACCAGTGCTGAAGCGCCATTCAGCACTACTCACCAGCATGAATGAATTGTAGTTTATATTTCTTTCCCCTCTTCCCGTCTCCCTCCCTTATACACACGTAGATATATAATCATCCAGTTCTACACAAATGTTTTCATTTTACATATTATTTTATTATGTATTTTCTTTCCTTTTTTAGCACCCTCCACAAGCAATTGCACAGTGACATGTTTTTATAGTGCTAAACTGAAGCCATGTCTGCTGCTTCAAGTTTGTTTACGAAACTATCAGTCATTGTTCATGTGCAGAGTCATTCAATAATATTTCCTATAAAACCATCAAGAACACTCTACATAATGAAAACACTGGAACTTCTCACAGAATGTTCTACCTATGAATACACAACGAAACTACTGCTCTAATCAGAATGCTGGATGAAAATAAGTCTCTTATTTTTTTTCTCCACACTGAGTGAAAATAAATTAAAGTTGGGAATAAACACCCTTTGGGGACTTCACCGAAACAGTCACTCTCGAGTAAAAGTCTCACCTTTTCATCTCCTGAAAAACTAATAAATTCTTACTCCTTATGAAGTATAGAGTGCTTTCATGCCTGGGTGACAGTCAAAATTAAGAGGAAACCAACTGCCAACATTTAACATCAACACAGAAAACCACACTAAGGTATCTAAACTACCTGGGGCAGCTCACTTAGGGGTACACACAGGTGGGAGCACCAATCAAATTGCTTCCCTGGAATCTCACACAAGGGAAGTCCATCTTCCCCATTGTTTTACGTGAGCCTGTTGACATATCACTTTTTGGAATTGCTTTGGTCTTCTCAGCACCCTAGATGAGTCAGCATGTTGCAACTGGTCCTCCCAAATGTCCTTTTCCACTTGTTCTTAAAGGGAAAGGAGGAAGTAAATAAAAAGCCAATTTAACAACAACAACAAAAAGCAATTTCACACTTTCAGAATCCTTACCACATCTGTGTATACCTAACAATATTTTTCATCGAGACAACGCAATAATTATAATGACAACCCACAGTGTGATTTGTTCCATGTCTATATTCCATGTTATTATCTGAACAGAGGTAGAAACAAAGAGAAATTCTATATGGAGAACTCTTGATGTGGGGGTTGGGGGGCGAGGAGAATGAGGGTGGGGAGAAAGTGACAGCCTGGGGTAAAGGTTTGACAGTTATCTAAAATCATTTAGAGTAAACCATCAAAGCCGTCCACCCCAGGGATCTGAGGCTAGGGGTTTGAGGGGGGGTTATAACATCTATTTCACCTATAATATTTGCATCTGTAACTTCTGTACTAACTGGCACTGAATCAGCTTATTACTGAATAGAGGCCAGATCTCTATGACACAAAGCCAATGCACTCAGATCCTACACCCACATGCCCACATAAAAGCTAAAATGGTTAAATAACTTCACAGAGAAATAGAAGGAACTCCAGATACACTTGCTGAAAGCCATGGAGATAAGTGAATTGGTGCAAACCACAAAGCAGAGCCTCTTAACATAACAAATGGAATGTTCTTCAGCAAGGACAAGCAAGCCTCTCCTTTAATCCCGGTGGTTTTTTGCTGTTGTTATAGTAAACCCTTACTTCTGCACAACTACGTGAGGTCTGAGGCATTTACTGGTTCTATTATTTCAATGAATCTTCACAACATCCCCATCTAACTGATGAGGAAACTGAGGTTCCCTTTGCAGATTAGCTTTTGTTTTTTTTTTTTGTTTTCCAGTCTTGCCGACAAACTCAAAGTGTTTCTCTTCTAGTACTTTTGTCTCTGTTCTACTGGGCAGGCAGAGCTACAAGTAAAACAGATACACCCCAATTCAGAAGGATTTGCTACCATCCAGGTTCTTCCAGTAAACCTGTTTTGGAGCCAAAAGACTCAGACTTTCTGTCTCCCGATTAGTATGCTACTTCCTTTCTCATTGTGACCTGAAAGGGAAGCCTAGGTTTCTTGCAGCAGCTTCTCTAGCTGGTCCCCATGCCAGAGTTCTGTAGTGGAAGAAAAATCACCTGTTCCTGTCCTCACCTCTGGCCCAGCACACAGCTCCCTGGGTCATTAACTCCCGTGGGCCACACCTAGTGATCAAGACTTAACCCAGCCACTCCTCTAATTGTAGACACTTGTCCTGGATCCTCTCCTTAGGTATCCAACCTCTGCTGAGATGTCCTGGCTACGCTAAATTAAATTCCTCCCGAGGGCCTCCCCGGTGGCGCAGCGGTTGAGTGCTGGGTTGCGAAGCCGCCCACGGCCTCTGCGGCGCCGGTTCGATCCCCGGCTGCTCCCTGGCCACCGGGGGAGGGTCCCACATGGCGCGCAGACCCCTCCTGCCGCCCGCTGCTCCCCTCAGCAGTGTACTTCGGTCCTTCTGCCTGCTCTGCTCCCCGCTCTGGCTCTGGTGAATTCTCTTACCCTCCCGCGTTTCTGACTGTACCCAGTGCATGTATAAACAAAACAAACAAATAAATAAATAAATAAAACATGCCTCTATTAAAAAAAAAAAAAAAAAGTTTAAATTCCTCTTGACCCCCAGCACGCCACACCTGTTTCAGTCTTTGAGACTTACTCATACA